GAGTAAAAGGTACAATATTATGATGTGGAATGTATTGAAGTAAAAGTAAAAGTTTCCCAAATTAAAAATACTTGAAAATTAAAAGTACACATACTTCAAAATTGTACTTACAGTAACAAAGTAACAATACTTATTTACTATCCACCACTGTTCTCCTCTCCCATTTGTGACAATGTGTTATGTCTTAAATCAGGATGGCCATCCTTGTGGTTTTGTTACTAACACTTTTTACTGGGCTGAGTGTCGCTGATTCGAAAGGTATGTTTAGAATAATACAAGTAAAATGCCTGGATTTAAAAACTGATTGATTATTGATTGAGAAATGTATATTGATTGATTGATTTGTTTGTATTGCCTCAAAGCCATCTTATAATTTTTTATCAATTTCATATCATATTGAACAGGGAATCTTGCTCTTAATGCCAGAGTGATGCAGTCCTCCTTATACCACATCCAGGGAGTTGCTGAACGTGCAGTAGATGGAAACAGAAATGCAAATTACGAGAAGGGCGAATGCACTCACACTAAAGCTGAGTTTAACCCATGGTGGAGAGCTGACCTTGGAAATGTCTACAGTATAAGCAAGGTTGCCATCACTAATCGTGTAGACTGTTGCAAAGAGCGAATCAGAGGAGCTCAGATTCGTATTGGTAACAAGCTGGAGAACAACGGAAACAACAATGAGCTGTAAGAAATGTTTCAAATGTATTATCATCTTCCGATGTTTATGTTCTGTCTAGTTTGACAAAACGGGAGACAAAATTGTACCTCCTCCAACCACTTAGTCAGCCACTTTCATGGAGATATCCTTTACGTGAACATATTTTTTCATATTGTGATTAGACATTTGTAAGTTTAGACCATTTATTTCTTATAGCAATGCGATATACAACATGAACAATCATTTGGATTGTGAAGAGTGCTATACAAACTTATTTGATTTCAGTACAGTTTAATCGATTTTTTAGACATGTACATTGTGTTTAGAGGCGTCTGGTTTCCATTTTAACACTGTTCTTTATGTATTTGCAGGGTTGCAACTCTTCTCAATGTTCCCGATGGCACAGTAGTGTTTGAGTTTGAGCCTGTTAACGGCCGATATGTCAACATTTTTTTACCTGGGAACGATGAATACCTTACTCTGTGTGAAGTCGAGGTGTTTGCAGGTGAGGGACAGAGAGAGAAGATGACTGTAGAGAAGAAGTGATAGAATTTTTTTATGTTCTTATTAATGTTTTGTTTGTTTGTTTAATTATTTTATTAACAGAAGAGAACAAACCATTGTACATGTGCGTTCCAAGTAAGTGCTCTGCATTACTGTGAATGTTGTCAGTAACACATATATAATATTCTTACTGTACATTTGGTAACCAATATGGGATAATGCACATCCAGACAGTTGTTATCACAAAATAAACCCTGACAGGATGATCAGAACCCTGGCTTATTAGACGGCTACTTGCCACAAATAAAAAAAAATTGGACACAAAATATTGATTTGAGTTGAAATATATTATCAGCTCATTTGTAATAAACCCAAAGCTTCTGTGAAGAACAATAGCTCCTAGTCTCAGCATCAGACGTCACGCCCACAGACTGTTGACTGAACAGCTGATGCATATCGCACACAAAATTGGAAACACTTCAGGAGTTTCGAAGTCGTCATCGGATTGGTTGAATTATACAGGATTACCAGGAGACTTGTGTGTCGCGTTCTTTAACGTTACGCCTGGTAACAAAGATGCTGTGATTCCAAACCCGCTCATGTTAGAAGAAAGCAGTCGTGTTTACAACTGTGACAATGAGCGCTTATCAGGATCAACTAAACGCCGGATTTTCAAAAGTATGTGAAATATTTAACATTCTTCAAGAAGGACCGGTATTAGATACCCAGATGAGCGGTCTGTTATACATCATTGCTATTAATGACAGTCATTATTTGGAATTATCAG